CAGATGAGATATTTGGCGTTGTGGATGGTGGTGATGATGGTCATATTGCCATCTTCTGCCGTCACAGCAATTTCAAATATTTCTTTAGAAAACTGCCCGCAAACATGTGGGAGCATTATTGTTCCTTACCCTTTTGGAATTGGCCGCCTTGAATGCGCCAAAAATGAATCCTTCCTGCTTCACTGCAACCAGAGTGGCCTTTTCCAGAAGGACAACCCAATTTACAACATATCACTTGAAAACGGCACATTGACCGTAGGCATTCCGGCTGCCTACCAATGCTACAACCAAACTCACCCGTTAGGGCAGCGTTTGATCCTCAGCGTCGGGGGGCCCTACAGAATCTCCCACACCCAAAACAGGTTGATTGGTTTAGGCTGCGACACCGTGGCCTTAATGAGTGACAAAGAGGGAAGGTTCGGAAGTGGGTGCCTTGCCGTCTGCAATGACCGTGACGATATCGAAATAGACGGTTCTTGCTCCGTTTTCGGATGCTGCCAGACTACCATCCCCAAGCACGTCCATACATTGAACGTTACGGCGGGTAGCTTATATAATCACAGTTATGTTTTGGATTTCAATCCCTGCAGTTATGCTTATGTGGTTGCAAATTTCTTCGACATCTCGGCAATTAACTTCTTTGATTACCCAGAAAAAACAAGAACGACGTTGCCTATGGTGTTTGAATGGGTGGTCGGAGAGCAGCACTGCCAAGCAAGAGAAGATCCGTATGGGTATTCTTGCGGCCATAATGCTAGCTGCTCTTATTACTTCGATACCGGTGGTGGATCTCGTTGCTCGTGTAACCGAGGGTTCACCGGAAATCCTTATCTCCTAAATGGATGCCAAGGTACTACTTACACACAACTCTTATACACGTTTCTTACCCAAAATTTAAAACCATTCATCCACATACTGAAAAGAGTTTCAACCATGAATTGGATTGTTTTAACTTAATTTTAACAATAATTAATTTAATACTAATCCACCAGATATTGACGAGTGCAAAGAACCAAACAAGTATCATTGTCAAGGCACTTGCCGTAATACTATTGGGAATTATACATGTGACTGCCCGCTCGGCATGCGTGGTGATGGCCGCAAACCTGACGGCTGCCGGGGACTTCGTCTGACCACCATTGCAGCAGGTAACTGATCTGATCAAAATGCCATGTGCCACTCACATGTC